CATGAACATTTGAATTTCCTTTCTAATCTCTTCCATGACCCACTCGTGATTCAGCAGTGTGTTGTTCAGCCTCCATGTGTTACCGGACTTCCTTTGGTGGCTGCTTAGTGTTTTTATACCATTGGGCTCCTTAGAGATTACTATTTTTTATTAGAGTATTTAAGTAAAGAGCACTTCTGTTTTACAATCAAACATCTGATTATTTTAATAAGCTAAATTTATAGAACTCTAGCATGTTAGATTTGATTCTCCTACAACATCGAAGCCTCCCAAGTCTTACCTAAAGATTAATTTTCAAGATAAAATATGTGTACTCAAAGGCAGCAGAAGCAGAGTAAGAGACAAAGCTGCAGCTGTCCCAGATTTTATCTGGGCCTACCTTTATGTGTTTACCCTAGTGAATTCAAGTTGAAAATTTGAGCATCAAAGACTCATGATAAAAAGAATTGTGTAAGCTGAACTCTTGAGCAGTTTCTGAGCATGTCAGATCTTGGCAAGAGGTCTGTGTCTGGGGAGTCTGATGGGGTCAGGGGAAAATCTTGGGACACAGATAGAACAGAACTTATTCACTGAGGGCCTGGATGGCCAGAAAATAAGAGCATTTCACTAGGTCAGGGTCATGAGAAGGTCTTGTTTTGGAAAGATTCTCTTAGTCTCTGGGACTTACTTAAATGAAAATGAGTTGGGGGGCTGGGAAGGTGGCTCAGTGGTAGAATGCTTGCCTTGCATGCATGAGGCCCTGGGTTCGATTCCTCAGAACCACATAAGTAGAAAAAGTCGGAGTGACGCTGTGGCTCAAGTGGTAGAGCACTTGCCTTGAGCTGAAGAGCTGAGGGACAGTGCCCAGGCCCAGAGTTCTGTCCCCATGACCAGCCAAAAAAAAATGAGTTGGTAGTTAGGCCTCAATTCTAAGCATTTAATGGGCAGAGAGGGCTAATATGATTGAAAGGTGAAATTTATCTTGCCCTGATAATGAGGTGTCTATGATACTCCGTCATTTCCATACTACAGACTAAATGAAGAGGCGTTGTCAGACTTTTCACATGCATTTTGACCTCCTTGACTTTATCATGAGAATACAGATTCACTCTGGATCATGTTAGTTTTCTTTTCTTTTTCCTTTTTTAAATTTTATTGTAAAGGTGATGTACAGAAGGTTTACAGTTAGATAAATAAGGTAATGAGTACATTTCTTTTTGAATAGTGTTACCTCCTTTCTCATGTTAGTTTTCTTAAGCCAGACATAATTTGAAATACTGTACTCATTGAATCATTGTACTCATTTGTACTCATTGTACATTCACTGGTGGTTGTATCATCAATCACAAGTACTTGTGTGATTGGCTTTGTCATATGGTTGTATAGTTTTTGTCTCCATAATAGGACCCCTTGTACTGCTGCCTTGTAAAGTACTTACTGAAAGTTGTTTTTAATAATAGTCTGCTGACTATTTTATTTCAATGATTAAATCCATATCTGTATTAAATTTCCTTTTTTGCTTAATATGTAAGCTTTTCATCATTTAAGCCATTTTATTCTAATGGGTCTTCACCCATTGGAACAGGATAGACAAGACTCTGTCAAGTCCTACATTTGAGAGACAATGTGTAATATGTAAGGATTAAGTATAAGGTGACTTCTCAGTTTGATTTTTTTTGCACATAAATTTTAAATGACTTAGTTGAACTTTTAAAATGATTTCTCCCACTTCTTTATTTGCATCAATTAGTTATGCAAAGCACATCAATATATGTATACCATGTATTTTGATCATCACTCTGCCCTCCTTAGTTGAATTCTTAACTTGGGAAAAGTAATGCAGTAATCAAAGGAAAAGTAATTTTTTACTTAAACTGTTACTTATAGTTAATATATAATATGAGGGCATTACTTGACCCAGAAGTGTCTGGGCTGGATTGTTCCTATATAGAAGGATAGGAATAAGTGGGAGTTGATTTTGAATCCACACTATTGATTTTTTTCTAAGATGTCACTTTGAAAGATGTCAGCCTCCTTAATTCTCATCTTAGTTTAGGATTATAGAAGCATAAAAGCTTGCATTTGTAAAAACATGGCATCAGCACTGAGTTATTTATAGAGATTTCTGATAATTATTTCAATTATTGTTAGCAAATGGAACTACTGAATAAACTAAAGTCTTACAGAATTTCTGCTTAGTATTACATTGTCTTTTCTAAATGTAAATAGTTTCAAATGGGATCCCTATTCATGTAGAGAAGCCATTTGTCCATTCTCTTACTGGTCAAAGAGTGTGGTACTCACAAGTGAAGCGAAGGCAACCTCTTCTGCTCTTTCCCTTTCTTCCTTACCCATATGATAGTACTAATTAGACCCCCTTTGTACTCTCTCTTTTGCTTATTATGCTGTACACTAAATATTGGCATAATAATCTAAGTACAAATTGGCTCTTCCTCTTAGATTTTAAGCTTCTGCTCATCTCTAGTTGCCAGGTATCTAAATCAGGCCTTTGCTTAGTCCACACTCAGGACAGGTAATGGAATCAATGCTTAAGTGCATTTTCCCTCATCTTAAAGAGTTCTCACAGGTTAATGCAGCAGGATGTTGTGAACGTAGAGGAGGAAGTGAGGGGGAGGTGTGTGGGCTTTACGCAGTGGTGGAGTGGCATGGAACATTTGTGGGCACTCACTAGAAATACAGGGTGGAGAATGTAAAGCATATTATAGCGAGGTTTTCTGTGCATTCACAGTGCTTGGGGTGGCTATTCAACAAGTTTAACCCATGTGTTTCGCATCTACCCGTTAAATGCAGGAACCACTAGTAATTTTCTGTGAAGTACAGGAGTGGATAGAAATGACCCAAGCTAAATTTTTGGCAGTTAAAAAAACCTCAGTATTTCAAATTATTCTTTAGGATTTTGCTTTTCAGGTTTGGCTTGTTAAAATAGTATTGATGATTGCATGGTTCTTATGCCATATGAAGGTGCTCTTTTGCTTTGACTTTTTTGCCCTAGAGGTGTAACATTTTCAATCCATATATATTACCTTGTTGCTGAGGATATGTTACTTTTTAATTAAAAATTTATAGCAATACCATCCTGATATCTTAAATGTTTGGTTTACCTTCATAGAAAAATAAACATTTTTTATAAAGATTTTAATCAGAATTTTAAGTTTCCACCTAATTTTTTTTTAACACTGAAGAATTGTATTTAGAGAAACCAACAGGTGGCAGTATGATACATAAAATAAGGGTTTCAGATGAGTATAAAGGCTCCTTTTCATAGGAAAATACATTGTTTGCACATTGGGGAATTCATATTATCCTGTAGTGCAATAGTTTATAGAACATTTTACACATATATTCAATATATTGAATATATGACAAATATCTAAAATTTTATATTTAGAACATTTTTGAAAATGTTAGGTTTTGCTGATTCCAAGGGAATGTGACAGATTGGGGGAGGGCATCTCACAGTTCTCTAGGTGGGGTTTCCATAGTAATAGCAGCCTCTGGGTGAAGGTTGAGGGTTCTAGCATGTAAGTAGTAGTCCAGAGGTGGGGAAATAGGAACAGCAGTCATGTTACCTGTCCTGCCAGCATCCTAGATATGCAGGAATGTGGCTAGCTCTCAAGATACATGAAGATGTGTTGGTTACTGAAGTGTATTTTACTAAAAATACAAAAAGTATTGATTGACAAGTTTGGTATATACTTAGAAAGTGGAATAATAAGGTACAGCATCACATTGATTCCCATTAATATTCAGTTATGGCATTAACCTATCATTAAGTGTGTTTCTGTATTCCTCCCTTAGGATTCTCTAAATGCCATGTGGTATGCAGAGGTTGGTTGCTTTTTGAGCTTTTAAAAACTGTAATAATGCATAGAATACTTGTGTAATTTCAGTTGGACTAAAAAGTAGGTGTCAATATTTTTTTTAGCTGCTACGAATTTGTCCTTGCTTGCTGATTGCAAATAAAATAACTGCATTATGCTTTAGCTTATTCTGTTAAGTTCTGCTTAGCTGCACATAGATTGTATGTGGCTATTTTTGCCTTCCTTTCTCCTTGGTCTCTGGCTGTGTTTGTGCAATGTCTTTGATAAGCTACTTGATGGCATCTATAAAGGAGCCTTTATAATAACAGATGATGTCTGAACTCTTCTACGTAGGTTAAAGAACTCCGAGAAAAGGCTGAGTTTTACAGAAAACGGGTTCAGGGAACACATTTTTCTCGGGATCATCTGAATCAGATTGTGTCTGATAATAATTGCTGTTGGGATGTCTCCTCAACTACAAGTTCAGAAGGAACCGTTAGTAGCAACATCAGAGCATTAGATCTTGCCAGGTGAGATGTTTTTTGAGATGGTGAAAAAGTGTGTTATAGCTTATGTAGATCATAGAGTGGTACCAGAATTTATCTTCTAGTCAAATGGAGATATACCAGCCATTCATTTCATTATTTTAGATTTATTTTCTGTGACAAAGCTACATATATTTATATATGTATAAATATTTCATAATATAATCTGGAAACTGGATTTTATAATATTCTTTCAAACAATCTAAAGAGCAAGAATGGTTGTAAAGTAAGGCCAGGCATGATGATTCATATCTATGATCCCAGCTACATGAAAGTAAATACCTGGAGGATCATGGTTTTGATGCTGGGCAAGGCAACAAATGAGACTCAGGCAAAAAGCTGATGATGGTATTCTTGTAGGAGCCTGTAGATAGACGGATGACTATTCAGGCTGGCCTGGCCAAAAAAATGAAGCCCTAGTTGAAAAATAAAGCTATTGAAGAAAAAAGAGTTACGGATATGGCTTAAAAGCCTGACCCTGAGTTCAAGCCCCTATACTGCCAAAAAATTAAAAAGATTATATGGCAGATATAAAAAGACTTTACAAGTAAAAAAGACAGCTAAAACTTAGAGAATAAACACTATTACTACATATCCATTATTACTCCTTAGTGAATTTGAGGTTAATGTTTTTGTTCCTGATTTTGTGGGAGAAGTCTCCTGCTTGAGATTTTAAAGTGAATATGATTTCACTATTTGTAAGAGAAATTATGTGTTGAATTATAGGAAATATAGTATTCAGTATAGAGTCATGCATACTAAATTTATAAATTCTAATTATGTAACATCTAATTTAAGTTAATCATAAAACATACCACTTAATAGTGATTTAGAAAGATGAATCTAAAGTATAAAATTTGAATTATATTTGGTCCTAAATCTTGAGCTTTTGAACAAGCATCAACTTTCAGTAACTGAATATGTCTGTGAAGTCCCAGGTACTGTGTGACTCTTTGTCACCAGAGATGCAATTATGAATGTGTGAAGGTAGAAGTGAGGAAGATAAGTGTGTTTTGGACTATTGTAATAGAAACTCAGAAGATACTGTCATTTGTTATATTACAAAATGAACTTTTTTTGCCGGGGAAGGGGGAAGGTATTAGTTGTGGGGCTTGAACTCAGGGCCTGGGCAATGTCCCTGAGCTCTTTTTTCTCAAGTCAAGTACTCTACCACTTTGAGCCACAGCTGCATTTCTGGTGTTTGAGGGTTAATTGAAGATAAAAGAGTCCCATGGGGACTTTTCAGCCTAGGCAAAATGAATTTTTAATTATATTTCTTTCCTCATTCAGTCAATATCAATGTGAACAATTGAAGGAAATGATAAACTCATTGAAATTAGTATGTACAATTCTAACTGCTCACATTAAAAATAAAACTTTCTTTGCCATGCAGAGATCATACATGCCATAAGACATTACAGAAACATTCCCCTACAAAACCAGAAGTAAAGAAAGGTATCTTGGAAGAACCGCCCCAGCAAAATGCCACAGACAAATTGGACATGTCTGATGCTCCCACCATACCTGTTAGCAGGCGGCTGGCTTGGGATGCAGAAAACACCGGTGAAGATGGGCGTAAACGTCTCAATGGAGAACCGGAGGAGGAGCAGGGAAGGGACAAGCCGTCTTGCATGGAAGAGCCAGAGATGTTGGATGTACATGAGAAATCTAAGGCAGACAAGATAAAAGAAGGGTGAGAATTTTAAATTTCCCAGTTTATGGCACATTATGGTATGTGACTAACATGTATTTTGTTTTGTCAGTAAGTATAGTGGTTAAGTTTGATGACTAATGCAGAGCAGATTTCATTTTACTGTCAAAAAGGCAGCCCTGCTATCTGGTAGATGCCTGTAATTTGATTCAGATATTGGAGTCACTGCGAATGGGTAATTGAACATTTAAACAGTGGGCTACTTGGGGAAGCAGTTGGATTATTTTCATTTGTGTTCTGCAGTTACAGTGCTAGAATGACTTTCTTCATTTAGTGAGAAAGCTGATCATTAGTGTAAGATGGTTTTTATCAAACAACAGAAAAGAAAGGAACAGTATTTTATAATATATTTTTATTTTTTATTTATTTTAAAAATTTTCTTTTTTATTAATAAGTTTTTTTTATTGTGAAAATACAGTACAGAGAGAGGGGTTACAATTACATGAGCAAGGTAATGAGTACATTTCTTATCAAGCATTGTTGCCTCCTCCTTTGTTTCCTCTTAGCATTTCTGCCCTCCAAGCACCCCTCCCCCCCCAAAGTTGTAAAGTTCGTTTTTTTGACATAACATACATCAGAAAAGAAGGGAACAGTATTTTATAATATGTTTTTAAAACGTGGTTTGTAAGACCTGCTAATTCCTGCTGTTTTATTTGTACATTGTTGGGGGCATGGTTTTTTACAGTTAATAATATATGTGTGGTCTGTTGCTGTGGGACTTGGCCTCTGACTTAATGGAAGGACTCTCAGCCATGTTGTTGCTGACTTGCCACAATCTCCCAACTTTCCTAGTATTCAGTCCCTCTTAACTGTATAGAATTTGTTATTTCATTTTAGAAACAAAATAGCCTTTTTAGAAATTTTATATAGAAATGATGGCAAAGTACTTTTGGTTGTATTTTCTCAAGTAAATGCTTCCTAACAGATTGTTTCCACTTGTAGGTCAGATATTTCTTCTGTATCATCATCAGGAAAAGGAGGCAGGCTTCCTACTCCAAAGCTGAAGGAGCTTGGAGGGGTCCAGAGGACTCATCATGATCTTACTACTCCAGCTGTTGGTAATAGGGAACACCAGTGTAGTTCTTTCATAGCCTGCTTTTTCTATGTGATAACTCAGTTTACTTGAACCCCCCTTCTCCATTTTCCAGGAGGGGCTGTTTTAGTGTCTCCCTCTAAAGGGAAACCTCCAGTCCCAGAGCAGAGGAAAAGAATGTTCTCTCAAGATGGCTTGGAAACATCAAAGAATGTTTTTACTAAGGTAAATACTTACACTTTGGAGGAAGACATCTTTTATAGTACTGGTTATTTTAGTTTCGTTAATGAATGATCAGATTGTAGAAAATTCAATCTATTGTATGTGGGTGATGTTATTATTAAGCTCCTTTTAGTAAGGCAAAAGTATTGCATATTTTTTTTTGGTAGTGGCATATGATTCCACATGATACATTCTCCCATGTTCTCCCATGATACATTCTCTCCCTCCCTCAGCCGGGAGAGGAGACACTCAACACTGTTTATTATGTGGTAGTTGTATTTCATCTATGTTCTAGGACCATTTTAGCACTGGCGATAACAGCAGAGAAGAAAATAAATGGAAGTCCTGGTCTTTGTTGATCTTATGTAGTCTGGAAGGGTAGAAACAATAATCAAGATAGCTAAAGTAAAGTACCCCATTGATAGTGAGTGGTAAGTACTAAAGAAAAATAAAGCAGAGGAGGTAAATAGGAAGGGGCCAGGGAGGTCCTCATTGAGAGGCTGGCATTAGAGCAAAATCTGAAGAAGGTGAAGGATTAAACAGGTATTTGGGATGAAAACAGCAAGTACAAAGTTACTGAGGTGAGAGATTCCTGATTCCTCAAAGACTAGGCTTAGATCATGTGACTGAAACACAGAATACTGTGTGATAAGTTCAGTGATAAAATGAATGGTGTGCTAAATCACATATGACTTCGGAAGGCCAAAGCAAAAACTCTGTGTTACTCTCTATGAGATGGGAAACCTTGGAAGGACAGAAGGGTGACAAGATTTGGCGAGGATTTTTTTCTAGTCTTTTAAGCTGTTGTGTTGAGAATGGACACAGAGTAGATTCATAAAATCGGTTGGTCAATTACTATAGCAGGCAAAAAATGATGGTAGTTTGGATCACATTGCTGAGTTAAACAGGTTATTTGATGAAGTCTATGTCTAGATGTACATTGAAGGTCTAACTGACAACATTTGCTGATGAATAAGCTACAGAGTAGGAGAAAGAAAAGTCAAGGATGGTTCAAGATTTTGGGGACAGAGCAGTAAGAATTGGAGCTGCCATTTAACTAATATTGAAGAAGATTGTGAGGAAAGCATTCATCAGGAAACATCAGACATCAAGATCTCTGTCTAGAATGTGTTAAATTTGAATGGCTTATGAGTTATGTAAATAGACATATTGAGTAGGAAATTGACTGTGTACTTGGAGTGTAGAGAAGTTAGGCTTCAGGGAGTTGAGGCACTTTACCATATAAATGGTACAAGTATTTGAAGTTGTAGAGAGGAGATCATCAAGGTAGTAGTGGATATGGACAGAGAGAGAAGAGTAGGTGCAGACACATCTGAGCTCCAAGCTTTTGGTATTAGGACATTGAAGAGTTAACTGGGAAAGACAAATAAAGGAGTAGCCACATGAGATGGACAAACAATAGACTGGTGTCTTGGAGATGGCAAGGAGAAGGAAGTTTCAGTGCTCCCAGTATGCAAGGAAAATATGAGACTTGATTATTGGATTTAGCAGTTTGGAAATCAAAAGTCTATATGTAAAAATGATTCCAGAAACAGGAGAGGAGAGGATTTGCAGACAGCCAGCATAGTGTTTTCCCAGTGCTTTCTCCAAAAAAGCAAGAAGACTAATGAAGTACTAGTTGTAAGAAGTGAGATCAGGATAGAAGAGATGATAATCCCTGTGGGTGTGCTGAGGAGAGTTGCCATTTAATTGAAATAATGAGAAATTAATTTGATTTAATAATTTGAGGGGCTGATAATATAGGAGTTGGAAGTTGTTGGAAAGATGTTGTTGACTAGGAAGAAGGGCTTGTGAGGATCTTTTGAATTGAGTCTAAGCGCTGGTGTCAGGTACGCTGACGGTCCCTTCATTGTTAGAACAGGGAGAACAGCTCATGAGCAAGGAGCTCCTGAAAGTCTCTTCTGATTGTGTTATTTAGTGATACATGGAAAATAACTGATAAAATAAAAATTGTTGATAATGAGGCTAAGAAAGAAAATTCTGGAAGTTTGAGGAAAAAGGAGGCTACAAAAGAGTCTTGTCATAGAAGGGAGTGTGAGTTAAGGAAATTTGAAATATTATGGAACAATATTAAGAGGGCACTTAGGTTAGTTGCCACAGATTTGATGATAAGCAGGGTGATTTTTCAGTTTTCCTTCTGACATGTTTTGGTTGCAAAGGCACAGGACAAGCAGAGTGCTAGATTGAACTGGATTTTGCAGTATGTTTTGTCAAAAGAATAAGGCAAAGTGGGGAAAGGAGGTTGGGATGTTAAAGTATATGCAGAGAAGTGATTGTAATGATTGGCTGTGGACATTGAGTTGGTTAGGGAGGGACAGTAGTACCTGAGAAGGTAAAGTACAGTGTAAAATGTGACAGCAGATAAGGGAAAACATGGGACCTATGTTTCTTTGAGTTTGGCTTACTTCATTCACTTAATATAATTTTTTCCAAGACTTTCCATTTCCTAACAAATGGGGTGATGTCATTCTTTCTGATGGAGGCATAGAATTTTCTTGATTCATTCATCTACTGAGGGGCATCTAGATTGGTTCCATATCTTAGCTATGGTGAATAATGCTATGATAAACATAGTTGTGCTGGTAGCTTTAGTATGGTCTTGTTTGTCATCATTTGGGTAAATGCCTAAAAGTGGGATTGCTGGGTCATAGGGGAGTTCTATGTGGAGTCTTTTGAGGAACCTCCATACTGCTTTCCAAAGTGGTTGAACAAGTTTACACTCCCACCAACAATGCAGTAGGGTTCCCTTCTGTCCTCATCCCCTCCAGCATCTGTTGTTATTAGGTTTCTTGATTGTAGCCATTCCACCTGGGGTGAGGTGGTATCTCAATGTGTTTTGATTTGCATTTCTTTCATGACTAGTGAGGTTGACAATTTCTTCATGTGTCTATTGTCCATTCTTATTTCCTCTTCAGAGAAGTTTCTCTTTAAGTCTTTAGCCCACTTATTAATCAGGCAGTTGTTTCTTTGAGGATTTGTTGTTGAGGGATTTAATTTTTTGAGTTCTAAGTATATAATAACTAGTATATGTCTAGGACAAGCAGAAGAGGTCAAAAGCTATATGACTATATAAGCTGGTGCTAATCAAAATGAATTCCAAGATAGGGATACAAGAGATTTTATCTTTCTTCCTGTTCTTTTTAATGTGATTTTTTTTTTGTGTGTGTTTCTTTGTATGTTCTTTCCCCGGGGTTATAACCACTGTTGTCACTGTATTTGATTCCGGTGTCCTGCATCTTATATATACATTTTTCTAATTTGGGGAGGGGAAGGGAAATAACAAAATGCTGAAATAAGGATACAGGGTGACCCATTGTAACAATGAGATGTACAAGACACTATTTTGAAAAAGAACTTTACAACTTTGCGGGGTGGGGTAGGGGATGGGATGGGATGGGAAGGGAAAAACAAAGGAGGGGTAACAATGCTCAATAGGAAAAGGACTTACCTTGCTCATGTAACTAATCCCCCTGTACTGTATCTTAAAAATATATATTAAAAATAAAAAAATAAAAGCTGAATTTGAGCTACCACTAAAACAAAAAATGTGACAGCAGTCAGTGGATGGAAACAGCTTGTAGACTTGAGGATTTGTTAGAATTGGGGTACCTGTGGAGATTAGTTGTAAAGTTAGGTGTGGGGCTAGGAGTGGAGGAATACTTGACTATACATTAGAGCCCATAAGTTTGATTCCCAGCAGTGCACAAAATTAGTTATCTGACTATTAAATTTACCAGGATTAAGATTATGGAGAGGTTGCAATTGCCAGTATTATTTACACTCCTTGTTTATAAGTATTTTTATTAATAAGTATTAATGAGTATTATTTATGCTCATCAATGAGTATTATACTATAGTTTCCTAATCTCAACATATTTCTATATCACTAGATATTATATGTCTTTTTTTTTTGATTGTGGGGGCTAAACTCTGGGCCTGGACGCTGTCCCTCAGTTCTTCAGCTCAAGGCTAGCACCCTACCACTTGAGCAACAGCACCACTTCCAGCTTTTTTCTGCTTATGTGGTACTGAGGAATCAAACCCAGGGCTTCATGCATGTGAGGCAAGCACTCTACCACTGAGCCAACTTCCCAGCCCCATGTGTCTTATTTTTATTGCAGCATGATATGCAATCTGTACTATCATTTTAACCAGATATTATTGAAACCTCATATCATTGAAACTTCATATTATTATTGGAACCTCAGATTTCTATTCTTCATAACTTTTCTATTTTGAAAACATACCAAGAAGAAATCCATTCTTTTTTATTTATTTTTTATTGTGGACATACTGTATAGAGGGGTTACAATTACAAGATAATAAGTACATTTGTTATCAAGCATTGCAGCCTCCTCCTTTGTTT